AGGCAGTGTTCCCTCTCAGCTGAGTGAGTGTGAACTAGCTCACTGTTTTTTAGCCTCCAGCTCACACCTTTTTGCCTTAGCTCAGGAAGGACGCTCCAGAGCAAGCTAATTGATGTCGTAGCCAAATCGCTCAGGCACACCTTTAATGCCAGGAGCTCACCAAGTGGAATCTTTGCTCACAGGACTCCGCAGCTTAGGAGGAGCACTGCTGGAGACCCACTGAAATCTGAGGAGATCTCCAGCCACCACCTGGAGACTATATAAACATTATTTGAGATATTTTATAACTGTCTGTAGCACGGTATTTGCTGATTTTTGGTATTTCCTACTTACCGTGGGTCTTCTTTTGGTTTTGTGAAGAGCGGGTGAGGGAGCTTCATGCCGTCCATTCAAGCTGTGACCTTCGACCTTAGCCTAAGGCCTCCGTGCCCGATATGTGTCCCTCCAGACACTTCACTGGGGCTGATGAAAACCCACAACCCTGATTCTTGCCGCTGTGGTTGAAGCAGCTCAGTTGATCGATGCAGCGATGAGGATCAGCAGAGGCAAGATCCGTCTCCTTGGTCTTTAGAAGAAGGAGAGATTGGATTTATACCCTGCCTTTCACTACCTGAAGGAGTCTCAGAGCAGCTCACAATCTCCTTTCCCTTCCCCACCCCGCAACAGACACCCTGCGAGGGAGGTGGGGCTGATAGAGCTCTCTTGAGGACTGCCCTTGAGAGAACAGCTCTGAGAGAACTTATGACTGACCCAAGGTCCCACCAGCAGCTAAATGTGCAGGAGTGGGGAATCAAACCTGGTTTTTCCAGATTAGAGTCCATGCTCCTAACCACTACACCAGACTGGCTTTAGCCTTCCTCCTCTTACCTGTATCCCTTTATGCAGTTCCAAATGTGGGGACCATCTGTGAAGATGGAAGTGAAGTTCCCTGAGAAGAAAGGATCTCCTTGGGAGGAGGATCAGAAGGCGCAGGCCCAGGAGCGTTCTCAAGATGCCCTCTCACGTGGTAAGGGTGCCTTGGGCCCAGATTCGGGCATTTTGTGAAGTTTTTGGATAGAAGGTTCAGGACAGGAGATAAAAGAAATATTTCTGCACATCGACACAGAGTGGACTGCTGAGACTCAGTGCCATGGGACGTATTGGTGGCCACTCACTTGAAAGGGGGATTATACAGATTCATGGCGGGAAATTCCTTTCTCATAGGAACACAGGAGGATATGAGAGAAGCCATGTTGGATCAGGCCAATGGCTCCTCCGATCCAAGACTCTGTGTCACACAGTGGCCCAAACCCAGGTGCCATCAAGAGGTCCACCAGGGGGGCCAGAGCTCCTAAACCCCTCCCGTTTTGCCCCACAAGCACCAAGAATACAGGGAATCACTACCCTACACATAGAGGGTAGTAAAGTAAATCTTTGTGGCTAATACCCACTCATGCACCTCTGCTCCAGATGTTTATCAAATACTCTTGAAGCTGTCTAGGCTTGTAGGTACCACTACTTCCTGTATTCCACGTGTTAACGTAAATATTCCTATCTCACGTCCTGACCTGGATAGCCCAGGTAAGTCAGATCTCAGAAGCTAAGGGAAGGTCAACTCTAGCAAGTACTTGAACAGGAGACCTCCTTGAGATACCAGAGTTGGTAGGCTGGGGCAGGCTTTATTCGGCCACCTCTCTAAATACCTTCCAGGCCCCCAGTAGGGGTCAGTCACCAGAGGTCGCCATGACTTCCTGGTGCACACACACACACAACTTATTAAAAATACCAAATAATAATAATAATAATTCCTATCGCACATACCTTCTGTTAGATGGATTCAGGGCACCTCGAAAACGAAAAGTTGACAGGGCACCCCTGGGGGCTTTGGAGGTGGGGCCAGGGGTGGATGTGATGTCACAGTGAGGTCTCATCCTGCTGACAATCTAGACGTGACATCAGAGCATCAGCAGGCACTCTGGAAACCGCTTGCTATTACCCTCGAGTTCTCAGGTGTTCTAATGTCACCTCTGGGGTTTTAGACAGGTGTGATTGTGATGTATCGTTCGACCTCATTTCTCCCCGCCCCCCGGAAGGCTGAACTCAAAGGAGCATGGGAGGGCCCAGCCAGCAGGAGAATGATGCACCTGGGCCTTTGGTCTGATCGAGCAGGGATGCTGTCACCGTTCTGAGCTTTGGAGTCCACACACAATAAATTTCACGTCGCAGTTTGCACACACACACACACACACACACACACACACACCGGTGAGGCTTATAGGAACCTGGTGCTTCCCTTCCACCTCTCCCTCAAGTTGACTCAGAATTGTTACACGTTTTGTTGAGTGTAGACAGGGCAAGGTTTCATAGCTGTGGGAACCAGGGTGCATGAAGCAGGATACAAGCAACGAAAATACGAAGTCTTGGCTCAGACCCTTTCTTCCAACGTTCTCTCCCTCCCAGGCAGTGAAGAGATGGTGTTGAGTCGTCATCTTTGTGGAGGAGTGGAAACGGCTGCTGCCCCTGCAGTCCAGGTAGGGGAGATGAGCAGGGGACCGCCTGAGTTCCCCCTCCTTTCTCAGGGGGGCCTTTGCTCCTGCCGTGGCTTCTCTGGTGTCCGAGCAAGAGAGCCTCTGAATGCCACGCCCTTGACCCCCAGCCAAGCTGTCTGTCCTCTACCCCACCAGAATGCCCGTTTCCTGAATGCAGTCTTGCCTGGCCCGATCTCTGATGAGGAAGTCTGCTTTTTCTTTTAGGTTTCAGCTTCCTTTGAGGAGGTGGCCGTGTATTTTACCATGGCAGAATGGGCCCTGCTGGATCCGGGCCAAAGAGCGCTCTACTGGGAAGTCATGCTGGAGAACTATGGGATTGTGGCCTCTTTGGGTAAGCATCTTTCTTAGGTGCCAAAGGTGTGAAGTGCTGCCATTGTGATTATGTGTGAATCAAAATATCGCAGACAGTATGTCATTGTGGAGCCTGGCCCTGTACTTAACACACATCTCTCCTTATATATAATTGAATAGTGGGGTGGCATTTTCTGAACATTCCACATGTCCATAAATCAGTTGGCTCCATGATGTGTCACTCAGAAACTGTCCCTATCCACTGGCTGTGTTCCCCGAGTCTCAACCACAGAAGCGGCACCCGCGAAAACTTTCTTCAGAAGACGGTTGCTTCGCTCCAGTGAACACAGCTAATGCCTTCGCTCTTCTTGCCAGACATTGATTGTTTCCTTCAGGGGACAAAACCCACCGTCTTTAGCCTCCAAGCCAAGTTTACTGAGGCAACACTTTCCAGAATGGAAATAAAAATTGCCAAGTAAACAGCTGTCCGTGTAGCAGAGGGGGGGGGGCAGCCCAAGTTATCACAAAAAAGCCAGTGGATACACACACAAGCGGAGATAGAGGATGGGACCAGACACACAGAAATCAGGAAGCCAAAAACCTGAGGCATGCTGCAAAGCAGAAATATCTTTCTAGAGCTCTTTGTATTGTTTTTACAATGAGCTTTACTGCTAGTAAGAACATAAAAACATAAGAGAAGCCAATGTTGGATCCAGAAGCAACTTCGGCCAATGCTGTGGCCAGCGTGAGAGGCAGGGTGGGTGTCACGGCCTGAGGTGGAGACAGACAAAGGCCTTGGGTCACTCTTCCTCCTCATTTCTGTCTCTCCCAAAGAAGGCACGGATGTGCGAGACACTGCAGTGGAGACAGACGAAGGGCTGGAGAGTTTCTCAAGAGGATCTCAACAGATTATTTCCTTCCTGAGTGAACTGGCTACGAGTGAGTATCCTTCATCATTATGTCAAGGGAATGGGCAAAGAATGGCCATGGTGTATTTCTGCTTCACTTCTGACAAACTCTTAGTTGGGTTATGGCTCTTTTTGTAGCAGGAACTCCTTTGCATATTAGGCCACACACCCCTAATGTAGCCAATCCTCCAAGAGCTTACACAGCTCTTCTTACAGGAGGTACTGTAAGCTCTTGGAGGATTGGCTACATTAGGGGTGTGTCGCTTAATATGCAAATGAGTACCTGCTACAAAAAGAGCCCTAGAATGATAAAGCCCTCTGGGTAAGGAGGGAAGCCTTTTGGGGCCTGAATCTTGGTAATTCTTCCTGGGGCTGAGCTCAGTTGTGGCTCTTTTGGAAGAAGAAGAGGAAATTGGATTTATACCCCGCCCTTCACTACCCCAAGGAGTCCCAGAGCGGCTGACAAACGCCTTTCCCTTCCCCTCCCCACAACAGACACCCTGTGAGGTGGGTGGGGCTGAGAGAGTCTCTCAAGAACCGTCATTGAGAGCACAGCTCTGAAAGAACTTGTGACTGACCCAAGGTCATACCAGCAGTGGCATGTGCAGGAGTGGGGAATCAAACCTGGTTCTCCCAGATTAGAGTCTGTGCTCCTAACCACTACACCAAACTGGTCCCTTTAGGGCTGCACTGTCCTTAAATACCAGATATCCCAGGGAAAGATGAGGTATTTGCTTAAGAACAGCTTTGCTGAACAAGTCAGACGCCCATCAGCCTTTTCCTACCGTGGCCAGTTGAATATCTCCAGGCCCCCCCTCCCTCTCTCCCCCAACAGCTGGTATTCCTATGGGACTCCCCTTAGAACTGTGGTGGTTTGCTTGGTGAGGTCCTGACTTCTCTCCTACCCCAGCAGACACGTGTTATTGGAGTCTGAAGACCAGCTCCTCTTCTCACTCATCACACCTGGATGGATACTCCGTACAGTCCCAGGACTAGAAATTAACAATCATTTTTTCTATTTCATCATCAAAAGATCTGCATGACAAGGCAAATGGGAAGGGCAGAGAAACAGATGTTTGCCAGCTTTTCCCTTAAAGAACATTTTGGGAGTTTTGTGGAGGTGGGGGGGAGAATCACCATATAGAAAAAGCTCTACTGGAAAGGCTGGCCAGTGAAAAGTTCTGACCAGCTGCTCAGAAGTTAAAATGCACACTCATTAATCAGGAGTCAAGACAGTGTGTGACTGCAATAAAGAAGGCCAATGCTATGCTGGGGATTATTAGGAAGGGTATTGAAAACAGATCAGCCAATATCATAATGCCCCTATATAAATCAATGGTGCGACCTCATTTGGAATACTGTGTGCAATTCTGGTCACCACACCTTAAAAAGGATATTATAGCTTTGGGAAAAGTGCAGAAAAGGGCAACTCGAATGATAAAGGGGTTGGAACACTTTCCCTATGAGGAAAGGTTAAGGCGCTTAGGGCTCTTTAGCTTGGAGAAACGACGACTGAGGGGTGACATGATTGAGGTTTATAAGATTATGCATGGGAAAGAGCAGGTAGAGAAAGAGGTACTTTTCTCCCTTTCTCACAATACAAGAACTCGTGGGCACTCCATGAAATTGCTGAGCGGTCGGGTTAGAATGGATAAGAGGAAGTACTTCTTCACCCAAAGAGTAATTAACACTTGGAATTCACTGCCACAGGAAGTGGTGGCGGCTACAAGCATGGACGGCTTCAAAAGGGAATTAGATAAGCATATGGAGCAGAGGTCCATCAGTGGCTATTAGTCACAAGGTATAGATAGGGACTCTGGGGCAAGTGATGCTCTGTCATCTTGGTGCTTGGGGGGGTCAACAGTGGGAGGGCTTCTAATGTCCTGGCCCCACTGGTGGACCTCCTGATGGCACTGGTATTTCTGGCCACTGTGTGATACAGAGTGTTGGACTGGATGGGCCTTTGGCCTGATCCAACATTAGCATCTCTTATGTTCTTATGAGTTCCTGATGGGTGGCTTGGCTCCTTATGTGAGTCGTGATTGGATCTCTCTCTTTATTCCAGCAGGAGATATCGAAGAGTCAGTTGCGGAATTTCAGTGGTTCTCTTTGGAAAAAGCAAAGAATGAACAGGCTGAACGAAACTTTGGGACTAGAGATGGACCACAGGAGCAGGAAGGAGGCTGTATGGTGAAGAGGCGGGTTAAGTCTATTCCTCGCCAAGAAGGGGGCTTCCATGAAATCCCAGTCCGCAACCATCTCCGATGGACTCATTCAGGAGTGAAGCCATTTATCTGTTCCAAGAGCAAAATGACATTCTCCAATGGAAGAAAGGGTAATGTATGTTTTCCAAACCACATTATAATGAAGGCATGTAAATGCCATTACTGTGGAAAGGACTTCAGATACAGACCACAGCTTCTTGCACACCAAAAAATACACGCAGCACAGAAGCTTTTTGAATGTTCAGAGTGCGGAAAGAAATTCAGTATGAATTCCAGTCTACAAAAGCACCGAAGAAGCCACTCAGGGGAGAAACCTTTTGAATGCTCAGAGTGTGGAAAGAGATTCAGTAGGAGTGGCATTCTTCAAGAGCATCAAAGAACCCACACAGGGGAGAAACCTTTTCAATGCTCAGAGTGTGGGAAAAGATTCAGTCAGAGTGGCAATCTTCAAAAGCACCAAAGAACCCACACAGGGGAGAAACCTTTTGAATGCTCCGAGTGTGGAAAGAGGTTCAGTCAGAGTGACAGTCTTCAAAAGCATCACAGCACCCACACAGGAGAGAAACCTTTTGAATGCTCGGTCTGTGGAAAGAGATTTGGTCGGGGTGACAGTCTTCAACGTCATCAGCATCAAAGAATCCACAGACAGGAGAAACCTTTTCAATGCTCAGAGTGTGGAAAGAGATTCAGTAAGAGTGGTGATCTTCAAAAGCATCAAAGAACCCACACAGGGGAGAAACCTTTTAAATGCTCAGAATGTGGAAAGAGATTCATTCAGAGTGGCAGTCTTCAAGAGCATCAAAGAACCCACACAGGGGAGAAACCTTTTGAATGCGCAGTTTGTGGAAAAAGATTCAGTCAGAGTAGCAATCTTCAAAAGCATCAAAGAATCCACACAGGGGAGAAACCTTTTGAATGCGCAGTTTGTGGAAAAAGATTCAGTCAGAGTGCCAGTCTTCAGGAGCATCAAAGAACCTACACAGGGGAGAAACCTTTTGAATGCGCAGTTTGTGGAAAAAGATTCAGTCAGAGTGGCAATCTTCATCAGCATCAGAGGACCCACAGAGGGGAAAAACCTTTTGACTGCTCAGACTGTGGGAAGAGATGCAGTCAGAGTGGAACTCTTCAATATCATCAAAGGACCCACACAGGGGAGAAACCTTTTGAATGCTCAGAGTGTGGAAAGAGATTCAGTCGGAGTTCCAGTCTTCAACTGCACCAAAGAACCCACACAGGGGAGAAACCTTTTGAATGCTCAGACTGTGGAAAGAGATTCAGTCAGAACTCAAGTCTTCAAAAGCATCAAAGAACCCACACAGGGGAGAAACCTTTTGAATGCTCAGACTGTGGAAAGAGATTCCGTCGGAGTTCCAGTCTTCAACTGCACCAAAGAACCCACACAGGAGAGAAACCTTTTGAATGCTCAGTGTGTGGAAAGAGATTCAGTAGCAGTTACAATCTTCACGGGCATCAAAGAACCCACACAGGGGAGAAACCTTTTGAATGCTCAGAGTGTGGAAAGAGATTCCATCTGTATGGCAGTCTTGAATATCATCAAAAAACCCATACAGGAGAGAAACCTTTTGAATGCCCAGTGTGTGGAAAGAGATTCATTCGGAATACCACTCTTCAACAGCACCAAAGTACCCACACAGGGGAGAAAACATTTGAATGCTCAGAGTGTGGAAAGAAATTCAGTCAGAGAGGCAATCTTCAAAAGCATCAAAGAACCCACACAGGGGAGAAACCTCTTGAATGCTCAGAGTCAGGGCCCAGCAGAGTGAAAGAAGGCCACATGCCCCTGTTTGCTTCCAAGCAGACCCAGCTCCATTCTCACCACTCTAATAAGGCAAAAGGACTTCCGAAAGGAAATAGAAAGGTGGAGAGGTAGCATCGGAAAGACCAAGGAAATTTCCCAGGGCTTCCACAGGTCAAAGCTCATTTGGTCAGGCAGAAATGAGAACGAAGATCCATCAGACCTTATGGCCCTTTTTGGCAACCCCCTTCCCGTGTTCAGAGAGAGAATGGCCTTTCTGAGAAAGTGAGCTTTAACTCACTGAGAACTTAAACCCTGGAAAATTTGCATGGTCTTGAATGACCTCCTGGACTTGAATTCTGCTCTGCTTCTACAGAGTAACACGGTAACCCACCAGAGAGGCAGAAAGCGTGCCTCGCCTTTCCGGCCTTCAGACTCCAACAGATAAACCTGAATAGCTCCTTTAACAGAGGAAAAGCCTCAATCAAACCAACGTTAATTTGGATGAAGATACAAAAATATTTTGAAAGATGGCCCTAACTAAAATGATCATGGCTGGGAAGAATCCCTGCAGTAAAAATGAATGGTTTGCCATAAAAGATTTTCATTTGATACCAATTAATATACAAAGACTCCGATGAACTGACAGAAATAAATGAATACATTTATATGGAATGGCAAACAACTAAGAATTAGATTTAATGTAGTACCAAATGAGAAAAAAGAGGAGGGTTAGCACTACCTAACATTAAACTATACTTAGAAACATCTTATTTGGTTAGGATTGGATCAATTAAGTTTAACTCTAAAACATCTTTAGACATCTTCAGTTTTATAATGACTATTATGGGTTTTTGGAGTTCCGTGATATATGTTTCATTGTAAACATTTTTCCTATAGATTGTATCTCTACAAGTGATACTGTGAGGTATGCTTTGGTAGACATTATCTATCGGCTGATTCTGTATATGAGTATGTGTGTATAAAATGGTGTGTGTTCTTTTGAGAGAGACTTCTTCTGTGTTGGTTCATTGGTTACAACTGTGGAATCGAGGACTAATTCTGAGAGTTCATGGAGTCATCTAGTAAGAACACTATATCCACTTTGAAAACACATGAGAGACACATCCTGATTTAGGAGGTGAAAGGAGGATCCTTTTGGAGAAGTTTGGAGCGTACTAACGGATTATCTTCCTTTGGATATCAGAATAATTATGGGGGACTTTGTGTTTGAATCTTTTCGAGATGGACTCATTCCTGTGTTGGATTGTTTGTATGAAGTATTAGAGCAGGGGTGCCAAACCTAAGGCCCGTGGGCCAGAAGCGGCCCTCCCATGGCTTTAATCAGCCCCACAACTCTTTTCTTACCCCCTTCTGTCCTCACCCTTTGAAGCTTGAGGCTTCTGAAGTTCCCAGCTCCCTCCATCCTAAGTCACAAAGAAAATATGGAATGAATATTTCGTTTAAGGTCTCTGAACCTAGATAGTCTGCTCTGGGACTGTTTCCCGCAATAGAAACAGACGTGCTCTGGGACTGGAATGACAGTCCCTAGCAATAGAATCTGTATTCCAGGACTGGAATGACAGGGTGCAGTGTGGAATGACAGCCCCTGGGAGTAGCAGCAGCAGCATTCTGGGAATGGAATTCCACTCTGGGGGCCCTCATTCCAATCCCAGAATGTTTCTGCTACTCCAAGGGACTGTCATTTCACTCTGGTGGCTGTCATTGCAGTCTCAGAGTAGTCTCTCTGGGCCCAGAGACCTTAATGGGAAATCCATTCCACAGAGATATGAGTGGAAAATATATTCCACATTTTCTTTGCAGCTTTGTGCTGCAATGTATTTCAGTGGCTGAAGCTGTTGCTTGCTGGAGTTGTTTCCTTGCAAATACACAGTTGATGTTTTGAGCCAGCTTGTCTCTGCCGAATGTACCTGAGAACAGGTGCCTTAGTGAGTATTCTAACCTGGGAACCCACAGCCAAAGGGGGACATTACACTGGAGAGCCACTGCTATGCTGAGTATACCTTGGGGGAAGGGGAGAAGCTTGCAGTGCCCAGCCATTTTATGTTTCTAGGCTTAGAGCATTTTATATTTTAGCTTATATATATATTTAGTTTCTGCTGTGATCCCTGTGCTTTTTCTTAATGTTTTATTATTTAAAATTGCATTGCCAAATCCCACTATTCCCCCACCTTTCCATTTTAGACAGGTGTCTTTTAAGGGAGGGGAGGTTTGGGAGCTGTCAGTTATGAAAGACTATTAAATTTATTACAAGAGTTTTAAGCATACACCAGTCTGATTTAGTGGTTAAGTGCGTGGATTCTAATCTGGGAGAACCGGGTTTGATTCCCCACTCCCACTTGCACCTGCTGGATGACCTTGAGCAAGCCTTAGTTCTGTCAGAGCTGTCCTTGAAAAAGAACAGTTCCTGTCAGAGCTCTCTCAGCCCCACCCACCTCACAGGGTGTCTGTTGTGGGGAGGGAAAGGAGTTTGTAAGCCGCTCTGAGACTCCTTTGGGTAGTGAAAGGTGGGGTATAATCTCCTCCTCCTCCTCTTCTTCTTCAAGTAAAAAAAATAATATCTTTCATTGTGTTTGTATCTTTTATAAAGTTTATATCTCTGCTACCTGGCATTACATTCTATGACACGCATGGCCTGGCCCCACAAAGTCTCCTTGTAACAAATGAGTTCGACATCCCTGTATTAGAGTGTTGTGTATTCGTTCATATTGGTATTGTAATAAGGAGACCTGGACCTAGTATATACTGTATTCAGTACAATATTTAAACATAGTCTTTGAAAAAATTTTACTTTTACTAGTAGTTATTTTGTACATGGATTGTCATTTCTCTGTACCGTTGTGTGGCCATGATCCCAGTCTTTAATTGCCGGGGCTTTTTTTTTGGGGGGGGGGGGGGGTGAATAGCAGGTGTCTTTTAAGAGGGGAGGGGGGAGGGATTTGGGGCTTCTTGTTTGATCTTAGTTAAACATCCTCAATGAAAACCATCATTCAAAGCCCCCTTGAACCAAGAAGAAATGTAGGATATTAGTATTTAATAAATAAACACCGAGAGCCTTTGGAAACCCACACATTCTAACACCCTTCTTCAGCTTCTCTGTGAATTGGCTGGTCCGTGGACTGTGCTTTGATTAAAACAGCTATCGGTGGCTGTTGGATCCAGTGTCTTGGAGTCACCTATCAGTGTCAGGTATAGGTGCCTCTTTTCAGTGGCAGACAGCCTGGCTGTGCTGGGATTGTTCATGCACCATTTGCCATCTCAGAAGCCAAAACGATCCTTGATGACTGGAGATTGTGCATGGACTTCAGTTTCCAAAGAGAGGGTCAATTCTGGAGGGAGGCAGAGAACTTCCCTCCAAATGAGTGCCTGAGAGAGAGACGGCTTTCATTTTCCTCTTCATGCTTGTTCTCTCTTTCCTGCTATTTTTAAATATAATCTTAAAAGACCTCATTACGTCCATTTCTCTTTATGCTTCTGTTTGGAGAATTAATTCTGGCTAGAACTCTCCCTTTTTAGGGGGTGGGAAAAAGATTGGCTAGCTAACTGGACAGCTACCAGTGCATGGCCGCCTTAAGTCATGAGCACTCAGATATTCCCCTCCAATGGAGCATGTTTGTGACACCTGAGGATCATAACATAAGAACATCAGAGATGCCAATGTTGGATCAGGCCAACGGCCCATCTAGTCCAACACTTTGTCACACAGTGGCCAAAAATACCAGGTGCCATCAGGAGGTCCAGCAGTGGGGCCAGGACACTAGAAGCCCCCCCACTGTTGCCCCCGCCAGCACCAAGAATACAGAGCATCACTTGCCCCAGACCGAGAGTTCCTATCTATACCTTGTGGCTAAGAGCCACAGATGGACCTCTGCGGATGGACCTCTTGAGGCCTTCTGTGCTTGTAGCCACCACCACCTCCTGTGGCAGTGAATTCCAAGTGTTAATCACTCTTTGGGAGAAGTGCTTCCTTTTATCTGTTCTAACCCGACTGCTCAGCAATTTCATTGAGTGCCCACGAGTTCTTGTATTGTGAGAAAGGGAGAAAAGTACCTCTTTCTCGACCTGCTCTATCCCATGCATAATCTTATAAACCTCAATCATGCTAACTATTAGGACGGCGGCGATACCAGAGAATACCCAGGTCGAGGCCTCGGTGACTTCTAGCCAGAATACCAAGGACTGTTCCAGTCAGAATGGACTCTCTTTCTTAAACCTCCGGGTGAGAAAGTCAAGTTCTAAGATTACCCCACACAGAGGGAAGCCTGCAAGAATTTAGTGATTCCGGGACTCGGCCTCTACCCAGCACAAGTGGTTGGGTTGTTGTTGTTTGCTATTTTGAGCATGATTCCTGCTTAGCAAGTACTATTCATTGAACGGCTGAATAAATGCAGAGGCGGTGTTTAATCTGTTGTGTCAGGGGTATTTGCTGAACACCACTTACATCCTCAAAGGGAACCCAGAAGCTAAAGAGCCTCAACAAAGGACCAGGGCTCGGTGAGACCCCCGAGGGCTCCCAGGTGGCTATATGAGTTCAGCGCCTGAGAACGACAGAGGGATTGTCCTTGGTCCAAACAAGACCCCATGAGGAATAAGTATTCAGCGGGGCGCTGTCAGGCTCCTTAGTCAGGTCACAACACACAGGGCGTCATAAGAAGATAGCTGTTTATTAGTGGATACAGTACTAAAGAACACGTGTACAGTTTGTGTCAGGAATGGCCAGTAATACCAGGGCCTCTGACTTATAGTGAAATCAAACATTCCCCCTGTATGGATGAGCCAATGGATATATTTTGTGCGCGCTGCAAAGCCAGTGGGCATAGCAGAAAAGGCGTTGACTTTCCCAGCCGTGTAAACTGAAGCTGGAATAACTACAAGGTCAAGCAGAAGATAGTGGCACTGTTGCTGAGCAGGAA